CCCCAGCTATTTTTAGCTTCTAGTTTGAGATAGGGTGTCATAAGTTGCCCATGATGATCCCGAGCTCTCCCTCTCCCCCTCAGCCTCCCCGGTAGCTGGGAACGTGGGTGTGAACCACCATACCTAGCAAACCACCTTTTAGCACAGTGTGTGTGTTTAAACATCTCTGCCTGCTAGAATCTAAAATCTAAGAGAGAAGAAACAGTTGTCTTATTTAGTGAGGCATCTCAACCAGCTAGAACAGCATCGGACAAGACGGGCACTTATCAAATAGTTGCCAGATGATGAGGGATTGGGGCTCAGAAATGGTGGTTGTACCTCTAGGTTGCTGTGATGGGCTGCAATGATGACTTTTCCAAAAATGGTATATTGAGCTCCTCACCCCCTCAAAAGGGGGACTTGAGCTTAGAGATTACATAAGGGGAACGTTACATGACCATGAGGGAGCAGACAGGTGTACACACCTGCGAATGCCAGGTCCCCTTAAACCAGCAGAAGCTGGGCAGACAGCATGGAGCAGCCTCCCTCCCTGTGCTCAGGAGGGAACATACGCTTCCCGCCTTCACCGGGGGACAAGAGACTTGTTATTTTATGCCACCAGTTGCATATTTGATGGCGCTTTGTTACCTAGGAAACGATTAGCTATTCTCTGGGTATTTGGGCGGTCTGAAATCTAACAGGGGCTGGAAGAACCTGGGGACGGTGAGCATCTACAAGCGACCGCGGCGACTGTACGCCCTCTGTCGCCCTCTGTCGGGCGTAGTCATACGGGTCTACAATCCCAGAGCGCTGGAAGGCTGAGGCAAGGAGGATCATGCGTTCAAGCCCAGCTCGAGCCATTTATTTTTTTAATTAACTTTTAATTAATTTTATTGGTACACTCTAGATATACATAATGATCACATTCATCATAGGGGATTTGTACCTATACATGATGTATCCTGATTCTTCTTTTTTTCCATTCCCCCCTCCCTTTTTTCCCTCTTCCCCTCCTTATTTATAAAAGCTTTGTTTCCACTTCTTCCTTCTTTCTCTCTTTTCCTCCTCCCACTCCCTTGTTTCCCTTCCCTTTTGAACATTTTCTTCCAGCTTCCCAATATCTCATCCTCCATTTTGGTCCTTATTTTGTTTCAGTTTCTCACACCTGAGAAACAATGCACTATTTGAACATGTGTGTCTGATTAGTTCACTGAAGAGTATGGCCTCAGGGTGCATCCATTTACCTACAAATGTCTCAAGTTTATCTGTCTTTATGGCTGAGTACTACTTCACTGTATTAAAAAAAAATTTTTTTTTTTTTATCCATTCCTTGGCTGATGGGCATTTGGGCTGTTTCCAAGATTTAGCTATTACAAACTGTGCTGCAATAAATATGGGAGTGCAGACATGGCTGTGACATGATGCTTTTAACTCTTGAGAAGATACCAAGCAGGGGGATCAGCTTGAGCAATGTAGGGACTTAGGGAGACCCTGTCTCAAAAGTAGAAAGGGTTGGGAATGTAGGCCAGTGTGAAGGCCCTGAGTTCAACAACGAAAACACCCACAAGGCCTGTGACTGTCCAAGGACGCAGCAGAACGGTGCTGGATTCCACTTTCCCCTTTCTCCACCTACCCCCATGCTTGCCGTCACCACTGCGGAAACATCAGGAAACCCGCGCGTCTCCCGCCATGCCCCGCAAAGCGCCTTAGGGTCCTGAGGCTGCTTCTCCAGGTCCCAAGCGGTCCTCGGATCAGATCCACCCAGACCTCTCCTCGTCTACGTTCCGGTGGGATGGCAGACACGTTCAGGGGTGGGAAAGAGAGGAGGATGGTTTTCCAGGAGCTTTTCTTTGGGGAAATAAGGCTCCTTTTGCTCACTGCACAGGGTTTGCAAGATGCAGACCCCTGCCTGGGCTGCTTGGCCACACAATTTCTAGTGACCTGAAAGGACAAGGCGGAGACCCCGGGAAGGGGTGGGTGTTCTGGTCCACAGGCCGAGCGGGAGCCAGGAGCGGGAGAGCAGGCCGGAAAGGGCTGACTCCAGGCAGTGCCGGCCAGAAGACCTAGGCCTGAAAACAGAGCAACAAACACGGGCCAGTTCTTTTTTTTTTTTTTTAGTGGGGATTGAACCCACAGCCCTCACACTGACCCTCACACTGAGCTTCATTCCCCATAACCCCTTTAATTTTATATTTTGAGATTTTTTTTCTTGTATCAGGAATTGAACTCAGGACCTTGCGCTTGTCAGGCAGGCGCTTATGCCACTGAGCTATATCCCTGGCTAATTTTATATTTTGAGACAAGATCTCACTAAATCACTAATTTCCCCAGGCTGGACTGACACTTGAGATCTTCCTGCCTCAACCTCCAAGAGTGCCGGCTTCATTTATGTTTCTCTCCAGCGGGTGGAAACCCCAGGAAAAGGTGGCCCACACCCCAGGCCCATTATATAGGTACAAGTGTAGCTTTTGTTTGCTTTTAAAGATGGGTTGTTTAAGCATTCTTTGAATTCTCTTAACCTGTTCTTGTGTCGTAGAGTCAGGGTCCTGCTCTTTACTTTCCCACTGAAGCCATCTTATGAACTCTGAGTCTTCCTGAGGATTTGGGGTATGATGGCTCTGCAAGAAAAGGAGCCTACATTTAACAATAACTTTGATTGAGTTCCGGAAGTTGCAGTCTTCTTAAAGTTACAATTTTTAGTGATGGTTTTCTTTTCTGTTTTTTTGGTGGGGGAGGTTGAGATAGGATCTCTCTTTGTAGTACAGGCTGGACTTGAACTCATTTTGGGCTCCTTTATGTAGTCCAGGCTAGCCTTAAACTTGCAGCAATCCTCCTGCATCTCCCTCCCAAGTGCTGGGATCACAGGTGTGTACCACCACGCCCAGCTCCTAGTTATGACTTTTCTTGTCTCCTTTCTACCTACCTTTTTGCTCTTCTACCTCAGGTAAAGGTTACAAAGATTCTGGAATCAACACTGACTTACTGATGAACTCACAAAACTGTCCCCTGCAGGGCCTGGTAGTACACATTTGTAAGCCCAGTACTTGGGAGGCTGAGGCAGGAGGATGACTTCAAGTTGGAGGCCAGCCTGGGATACACAAGCGAGTTCAAGGCCAGCCTGAACTGCATAGTGAGACGCGGTCTCAAAAAGACAAGACGAAACAAAAACAAAAACCTCCCCTGAACCTTGAAATTTATTCTTGACTCTGAGCAGGATTTGTAGCTGACTCAATCATTTATTAAGCATATGTTAAGTGCCTGTGATAGATTAAGACTTCTACTGGACACTGTGAGGTCCGGAGATGATGGATTTTTATTCCTAAGGAGTTGACTGGTAGGGGAGACATTAAAAATCGATCAGTGACATATACTGTGTTAAGTGTGACAGAAGAGGGGAATGTAATGATTAAGAGCTCAGGCTTTTGGCCTCAGATATAAATTTAGACTCAGATTACAATTTCAGGTTGTATGATCTCGTGGTAAACTGCTAAGCTTCTCTGAACTTCAATATCCTTTAGGTAATTGAAAATAATAATAGGCTAGGAGTGGTGACACCCACATGCCTAGAATCCGAGCTACTCCAGAGGCTAAAGCAGGAGAAGATTACAAGTTCCAGGACAACCTGGACAGTGTAGCTCTCTTTCCCTATCTATGAAAAAAAAAATAAAAGTACTCATTTACTATATAAGATTATTGCCTGGCATGGTGGTGCATGCCTGTAATCCCAGTACTTGGGAGGCTGAGGCAGGAGGATCATTGTGAGTTCGAGACCAGCCTGGGCTACAAAGTGAGCTCAAGACCAGCCTGAACTGCATAGTGAGATCCTGTCTCAAAAAGATGAAAAAAAGGGCCTGGGGATTTAGCTCAGTGGCACAGCGCCTGCTTGCAAGCGCAAGGTCGTCAGTTCAATTCCCGGTAGAAAGAAAAAAAAAATTTTAAAAAGACCAAAAAAAAAAAAAGGGTTACAAGATTATTACGAGGATTAAATTAAGTCAGACATGCCCGGCAACTAGTAAGTTCCCAATAATATTATTACCAATAATAATAACTAGTATTAAAATTGTCTACACAAAGGTAATGTCAGTAAATGTTTTCAAGAAAAGGTAGCATTTCAGCTGAATACTGAACAAAAAGAAGCTGGCCAAGTCCCGGATGAAGCTATTGAATTGCTTCTATTTTTTAAATTATGTCCTGTCAGATTTCTCAAAAGATTTTAGGTAAAATAATGACTTTAGTGATAGGCAATTGAGTTTGAGAAAACATGTTTTGACCTCCTTATTCTAACCTCCAGTCTAATCCCAAATCCTACATATTGCCCAATTATGTAGGAAATGATACAACTATTAATCTTTTTTCACTTGATTTTGAATATTACAGGTAAAAGTAACAAGAAATAAATTTGGTTTTGAGAAGCTGACATTAAACGGGTGTGGTGATACATGCCTGTAATCCCAGCACTTGGGAGGCTAAGGCAGGAAGATTGCTATTAGTTCAAGGCCTGCCTTAACTGCTGAGTGAGACCCTGTTCCCCTGCCCCCCCAAAAAGCTGACATTCAAGGTGTTTACCTGTGACGTCAGGAGGCTGGATCTTTAAAAGGGGTGGAGTCTCTCTAGAACTTAAGGGCTACAGATCTTGAACTCATTGCGGTGTATTAATTTGTTTTCTTTTGGGTCTGCCACAAAATTGTGCATAGCAGGAACCTGACAAATGCTCATAGCATACTAAGATTCTCTTTAGCCGGATTACTTGTGCAAGCATTATGCAAAGATGAACTGCACCTGGAGAGTCGGTTATTGTAACCGAACAATTACCAAATATCCAGATGAACTCTCATAGCTTGGAGAATGATAATGAGGTGAAGCAGGCCCATCAGCACTTGGGCACCATGCGTATAATCACAAGTCCTACTAAAAAAAATACCATGTCTGGTTTATGAAATGAAATGCTTTTATCATTACAGTCCTTCTCATTCACTGAACTTTTGTTCTTTAAAATTTCTCTTTTACATTTGCATCTCTAGATTTCTTCCTTGTCTGCCTAGCAAGGTCATGGCAGAGCTGGAGGAGGCAGTGTATGAAGAACTGAACTACTCCTATGCACTGGAGTATTATTCTCAGGAGCCGGAGTTGGAGGAGGAAGTGCCCCTGGGAGCTGTGCACTGGCTCTCCCTGCTGCTGTGTGGTTTGGCATTTATTCTGGGAATCCCAGGAAATGCCATTGTCATCTGGCTCACCGGGTTCAAGTGGAAGAAGACAGTCACCACACTCTGGTTCCTTAATCTGGCTATTGCGGATTTCATTTTTGTTCTCTTTCTGCCGCTGTACATCTCCTACGTGGCCATGCATTTCCACTGGCCCTTTGGCACTTGGCTGTGCAAAGCCAACTCCTTCATCGGTCAGCTGAACATGTTCTCCAGCGTTCTCTTCCTGACTGTCATCAGCCTGGACCGCTACATCCACTTGATCCATCCCATCCTGTCTCATAGGCATCGAACCCTGCAAAATACCGTGGTTGTTGTCATAGCTGTCTGGCTTTTAGCATCTCTCATTGGGGGCCCAGCCCTGTACTTCCGGGACACTCTGGAGCTCAATAACCGCACCCTTTGCTATAACAATTTCCACGAGCACGACCCCGATCTCATTGTGATGAGGCACCATGTTCTGACCTGGGTGCGATTCATCCTTGGCTACCTTTTCCCTTTGCTGACACTGAGCATTTGCTATTTGTGTCTCATCATTAAGGTAAAGAAGCGAAGCATCCTGATTTCCAGTAGGCATTTCTGGACAATCCTGGCTGTGGTCATAGCCTTCTTAATTTGCTGGACTCCTTATCACCTCTTTTCCATTTGGGAGCTCACCATTCATCACAATAGCTCCTCTCACCGGGTGCTGCAGGCAGCGGTCCCCCTCTCCACTGGCTTGGCATTCCTCAATAGTGGCTTGAACCCCATGCTTTACGTCCTAATTAGTAAAAAGTTCCAAGCTCCCTTCCGGTCCTCAGTTGCAGAAAAGCTAAAGTCCACACTGTGGGAGGTCAGCTGCTCCGGCACAGTCAGTGAACAGCTCAGGACCTCTGAAACCAAGAACATGTCCTTCGTGGAGACAGCTCAGTGACTTACTGCTTTCCCAAAACTGGGGTGAGGTTTTGGAGCAACTCTCCTGACAAATACTTCCAAATGAAATTTGCTTTTAGGATTTAGAGCTGACCACATTTGTGTTTATTTTTGGTCAGTTTATTGGCCTCACATTTTTGTGTGAGTATAAAACTCTGGCAGGATATGCATATTTTTCCTCTGGAAGCAAAACTGATCTGTCACTCTTGCTAATTATCCCACAGTGGACTATCACCACTGTGAAAATAGTCCCAGTTTTTAAAAAAAATAATTTTAAAGCCTCAATCTTAAATATGTGACTAATGTGCCAGATGTGGGGATGCAGTTTTGTAATCCCAGGTATCTGGGAGGCTGAGGTAGGAAGATCACAAATTCTAGGCCAGTCTGAGCAATTTAGGGAGAACCTATCTCAAAATTAAGAGGGGCTGGGGATGTAGCTCAGTGGTTAAGCACTTGCCTAACATGTGTGAGTTCCTGGTTTCAATCCCTAGCACCAAAGGAAAAACAAGTTGTTTTGCTTAAACTCATGTAATTTTGAACATGTAAACTATTAGACATACTTTTTTTTTTTGGTTTGTTTTGTCTTGTTTTGAGACAGGGTCTCTATATATAGTTCAAGCAGACCTGGAGCTCACTATGTAGCCCAGGCTGGTTTTGAACTTGCAGCGATCCTCTTGCCTCAGCCTCCCAACTGCTGGGATTACAGGCATGTGCCATCATGCCTGGCTCAGACTATTAAAATACATGTCTGAGGCAGGAGGATTGCTGTGAGTTCAAGGCTAGCCTGGACTATATAGTAAGACCCTGTCTCAAAAAAAATATACTTAATTTCTTTCTGTAGTAAATGCATACACATTTATGAATTATTTGGTTAGTTTAAAAACTGTTTGTTAGGGCCAGGGATATAGCTCAGTGGCACAGTGCCTATCTGGCAAGCTCAAGGTCCTGAGTTCAATTCCTACTACCAAAACAAAAAACAAAAACTGTTTGTTAACTATGGATGCTTAATAAACTGCCCTAAAACTTAAAGTTGCTGAACATAATAATTTACTGTTTCCTATCTCACAATTCAGAAATTTAAACAAAGGTGTGGTGGTGCACACCTGTAATCCCAGTACCTGGGAGGCTAAAGCAGAAAGATCACCTTGATTGTAAGGCCAGCCTAAAACCCATAGTGAGCTCAAGGCCAGACTCTGCTTCCAAAAGACAAAAAAAACCCAAAAACCAAAGAGAAAAACAGTTTCCACAGGCAGAGAAGAAAGTCTGTGGTCTGCTTCGCTACCCATGGACTGCACTGAGGAGACTGAGGTTTGGCTGGTTGATCTGTCTCCCGCTTCCGCCACCATCCCTCCACCATCTACCCCTTCCGCACCCAGCTCTTCCACACTGGTGACCTCTCAGCTCAGGGTGGCTGCACTGGGCAGTGCTCCAAGACAGAAATCCCCAGTCCTTTACTGCTTGCTTCTCTTGGTGCGAGAAACCAAAAGTGTAAATAAGTACCAACATAGGTATTGTGACATAGGAAGAAAATGTTCAAATGGGGATGGGAACAAGGGGGCGGGGAGGAAAGAAGGGAAAATAAAAAGAGAAATGGAAAAAAATGTTAACAAAGCTTTTGTAAATGGGGAGAAGAGGAGTTAGAAGGAGGGTAGGGGAATGGGAAAAAAAAAGAATCAAGTTATATTATGTACAGGTACAAATTCTCTATGATGAATGTGATCATTATGTATGTCTAAAAGATACCAATAAAATCTGATTGAAGAAAAAAAATTTCCCAGTCCTTACGGGGCGTGGTGGCACACACCTGCAATCCCAGCACTCTAGAGGTTGAACCAGGATTGCTACAAGTTGGAAGCGCGCGCGCGCGCGCGCGCACACACACACACACACGTCACAGAGATGGTGGATGTGCTACCCCAATCTCCTAATTATTTCAGAGAACATACAGATGACATGTTCCTGCTCCTATATTTATAAAAACACCAATATAAAATCAATGTACGTGTTTAGGTCAAGGATTCCTTCACCGAACAGTGAGTGCTTCAGCTTTGCAGGAGCCCCAAGCTGTTTTCCAGGAAGTGAAATGCTGCCCTCTGCTGGCGTCCACGGTGCTGACAACCTGAAAATTTCTCCATTTTAGGCTGGAGCTGGGGGACTACGCACTGCTCAGATTTATTCAATACCAATCTGCACCCGATTAACTCTTTAGTTTCCCACACTCCAGGTAGCACAACATAAAATCAGATTGTAAGAGCACTGTCTGGTTGTATGAAAAACTTACCTAAATTGGGTTTGATGGTACAGGTCTGTAATCCTTCCTTTTTTTTTTTTTTCTTTTTTTTGGTACCAGGAATCAAACTCCAGATCTCACACTTACCACTGAGATATATCCCCTGCCCTGTAATCCCAGTATTAATTTATAATGTTTCTAAGAGACTGAGGCAGAATGGTCTGGCCATCCTGACCAATTTTGTGAGAACTTATCTTAAAATTTTTAAGGACAGAGAGGCCAGGCAAGGCATCCTAGCACTCAGGAGGCTGGTGCAGGATGATAGCCATGACTCCAAGGCCAGCCTGCACTACATAGCAATACCGTCTCAACACACTAAACACTGGGGCTTGGGAATGTTCTATCTAGGTTCAATCCCCAGTGTAACAACCAATCATCTGACTTCTTTGATTCCCACCTACAAAAAGAAAACTTTTCCTACACTTTACTTTTGTAAAGAAATGAGTTTAAAAAGGAGGAAAAAAAGCTGGGCGTGGTGGTGCATGCCTATAATCCAAGCCCTTGGGAGGCTGAGGCAGGATTGTTTCAAGTTCAAAACCAGCCTGGGCTACAAGGTGAGCTCAAGGTCAGCCTGAACTACAGTGAGACCCAGTCTCAAAAAGACAAGAACAAAAAAAAAAGGATGCAGCTCTTCCAACACCCCAGGTTCAATTCCTAGTCATGGAAAACACTAGAAGCTGGTGCAGCGGCACACAGCTATAATGCTAGGACTCAGGGAGGCTGAAGGATGGTAAATTCAAGCCCAGCCTGGGAAATTTAGGGACAGCCTATTCACCAGCACCTCAAACAAATGTTTAAAGCAAGGGTGCTGGGTTCAATCCCATGTACAAAAAAATCCCAAGTACAAAAAAGTCCAGCCCCCAGGGCAAGAGGGGAAGGCAGATTCTTAGTAAGGACTGTTTACTGTTCTATCCCAGTGTTTACTTGGATTACTAGGTTCAATTCATTCCCAAATCAAAGTGCAATAGCCCACCACGTACCTCACGAACCTTTACATAAAGGCAAAGCCCTCTGGGCATCATTTAGCTGTAGTGTTCATCCCAGGACGTGATGTAATGCTAACTCCACAACACTCCCAATAATTAACATGTTTCAACTTTACAGCATAATGCGTTACAGATTTCCAATGTGTGTACAAAGTGATTATAATCTATGACACATTTTGGCAAGGGTTCCCTCCTGGGCTAGATGTGCTCTGGTACTGTTGCACATCCTGTAATCTTCGTACACTTACTACTTTCAAGTGAGAGTTGTTAATTTTTCCATCAACAAACTCCAATCCAAAGACACTAGGTCACAACAAATTATCACCAGCGTCACACATTGCTGAGAATAATTAATGAGTACAGATGGCACTATGATTCACCCCTTATTTAACAGATTCAAGAGCCAAAGGCTGTCCTTCAAGCTTTTATTGAAGTGCAATGATCCGGGATGAATTTAGATCTTGTTAAAAGCAGCCACATCCATGGACTGCACATAGTCCTCAAAAGCAGTGATCTGCTCCTCCAGCATGTCCGTTCCAACTTTGTCATCTTCAACCACACACTGTATTTGCAGCTTTTTAATTCCATAGCCCACTGGAACTAGTTTAGCTTAAAAAAAATTAAGGAAAATCTTGTTAGAAGTGCCTTACTGATTTGATGGGCAAAGGTTTAAAATGCACACAAGTTTCAGGTGCCGATTTCAGAATGCAGAAATGAAACTCACAGGAGCCCCAGACCAAGCCGTCGGCTTGAATGCTTCGGACGCACTCCTCTAACTTCACCATATCTGTCTCGTCATCCCAAGGTTTCACATCTAGCAAGATGGAAGACTTGGCAACAAGTGCAGGTTCTAGAAAACAAACAGCATTATTCACGTACAGTTGTATTTGTTTTCCCAAATCCAAATCTCAGCAGGGCATGGTGGCCCATGCATGCAAATCCTAGCAGTCTGGGAGACTGAGGCAGGAGGATCCCAAGTCGGTCTGAAAATAAAAAAAATGAAAAATGGCTGGGGGTGCAGCTAAGCACAAAGGCCTTGGGTTCAATTCCCAGTACCACAAAGACAAAAATGAAAGTTCCAAATTTGTGTTTTGAAATGTACAGTCTCCTTAGTCAAATAAAAGGACAGAATACATTTTGTGTCTGTCACACACATGCCCACTTTCTTTTTGGCTAAGAAAGAGGTATTTAATTGTGTAACAATTTCTTTCCCACAGTGGAATGCCGCAGCTGCTACAATTAACAGCTGCAGACCAGTAGCTGTGGAAGTTTCAAGAGAAAAAATTGCTACGAAAGGTTTTCAAACACTAACCAACTCAACAAACGTGGAAGAAATTACTTTGCGGTCAAGCCTCACAAAAGGCTCCTCATATAATCATGGAATGAAGATAAACATCACATATAAATGACCTACTTTTGGCTTTCTTGGACTCATACTGTGCAAGCCTTTCTTCCCTTAGCCTCTTTGCTTCTTCGCTTTCCTGTAAAGAAAAATTGCAGAATTTCACAAAGCTGTTGTTCTTCTGGTTGAAGCTGGTGGTGAAATTAGCACAAACACCAGCTTTGTCAGAAAAAAGCAAATCCATCAGGAGCTCAGCCGAAAGATGGTGATTTGATTTTATTCATCATGTAACCAGTGAGAATTCTGTAAAGGCAGGATTTAAACCCAGGAAAACTGGCTACACTGCCTGTGCTTATGCAGACAACCTACCAGTCTACTCTGACATAAGATGCCATACCTCTTCATCATCAGATCCAAAGAGATCGATGTCGTCATCGTCTTTATTGTCTGCAGCTCCATTTCCAGTGGTGTCTTCCACATTGGCAGGGCCGTACTTGCCTAAAGCTTTCTTCACTCCTGGCAGGCTTGAAAAAAATTTAAATTCAGTCCCTCTTAATTTGGTATAATGTCTTTTTCTAGAAAAGTACACAAGGACATGTTCTTACTGCTCTGTATCATGAGATCCCTTCTGTAATAATTTATCCTGTAACACACACCCAGCAAATACTCCTCACCCAGCAAACATCTGCACCATGTGAGATGTTACAGTCAGTACTCACTAGAATTTACTTTTTCAGTATGAATGTTTGAGATCTCGTTAAGCACGCTCAGTTCCATTCTTAATGAATGAGTCCACTTCCCCAAACCTCCACCCTCTCACCCCTTCCACGCCCCCACAGGTCAGGGCGGAAACAGATGGGCAGGGCCCTGTGGGCAAAAGCTGAGTTGCTGTTGTCCATGTTCTACCTGTTCTGCGAAAAATGGAGGACTTCAGTGTCTGGCCTTCTAAGGTCACAGGGCGATTAGCTTACAATACCACCCAACAACGCTAGAGCAGCCGGGGGTCTCCTGTCGTCATGCGAAAATTCTGAAGTTTAGAAAGCAGTTTCATCCTTCAAGCCCGTGCAAAGACACCTTTACCTGGCCTTTTCCTTTTCGTAAGACTTGATGTGATTGTACCAACGCAGGGCATGACACAAGTCGGCAGGCGGGGGGCAGGAGACGGCTTCAAAGACGGCCACGTCCGCTTGCGAGGGCACAAACCTGCCAAGGATAAAAAAGAAGTTCGCCTTAAGAGACAGCTAAGTGGCAAACACTACGCCCGCCAAAGTCACTGGCGGAAACCAAACCCATCATCTATTCCCAGTCTAGCAGACACATTTACCGACTTCTTCCAAAAGTTCTAAGTTGCTGCAGATCGAGGCCCCCTCGCGGGGTCGCCCGCTATCCCAGGACGCCCGCCACTCCGAGACGGGGACCGGCAGGGCAGCGCTGGCTACGGGGCAGCAGGGCGCCAAGATGCTGGAACTTGGCGGACCCAAGAGTAAAGCGCTTCCCAACTTCCCACGAACTGTCCCTCCGGGCCCGGCTCGCCCGCCCGCAGCCACGTGGCCGCCGGGACGCGCCGCCGCCCCTCCGCTCACCCCTCGATGTAGCTCTTGTCCGCCAGGTAATCGTTGAGCACCTGCAGGCCGGCGGGGCTTTTCAAGTCTCCGAAACCCATGGCCTCAGCTGTCTGCAGGAGCTGGGCAGCGGCGGAGGCAAGAGCGCAAAACGCCAGCGGCCGGCGCTGAGAGCCAAAAAAAAAAGGGCCGCGATAGCCCGGAAAACGCCTTATATAGAGACGGAGGCGTTTCCCTCCACGGCGCCCGGCGGGAGGTTAAAGGTCACAGTACGCTCCCGTTCTCATTCCTCCAGTAAACACAGCGAGGCCCGAATTAAATGGCCCACCAATTGTCTGCAGACCTTTCGGTGTTTTTGGAAGTAAATTAATAAAAGGAACATTTCTCAAATTTGTATTTCTACGGCTCACGAAAACTACGTGAACCGCCCTTTCAAACGCCAGAGATGACCGAAGGAGCGCGGTGTTAAGGCTCCGGCAAATTCCGGCGGAACTGCAGATCCAAATCGTCCCCTCCACTTCTTCCCCACCTGCCGTCAGGCTGACGGAAATTGCCGAAATCAATCTAATCCGGAAATTGTCGAATCTGGAGATTCTGGTCCCTCCTGGCTTTCCGTTCTCCCTGCCCGGCTGACGGAATTACCGGGGGCCGCCATATTGAGTAAGCGACCGGGTCTCTGAGGGGTCCGTGGTGTCTGGACACTCCAGCAGAGCACCCTCGGCTGCTCCGGGGAGAAGGTGAGGTTGTGTTTAGATAGGAAGGCTATTGTGCCATGGTCCGGGGCTTATTTTTTGACCTGAATGTGCCCTTTGATTGAGGCACCTCATTCTCCTCTTGTCCTTGACCGGGCACCGCCTCCCGTCCAGCTGCCTTGGGAACCTCGGAGCGGATAAGTGAGGGCTGTTAACTTTCGTTTCTGGTCCGATGGAGCAGAAAGAACGGGGAGGAGCTCCCTCGAGAGTGCTTGCCCCAGTGCAGGCTTAAGAGCGACCGTCCCTCTGCAGGGAAAGGCAGGGCAGTGCCCTGTCAGGAGGACGCCGTTTTGTCCGCAGCAGGGGACGAGTGTCCCAAGTAGCTTAGGCCTAGATTGAGCATTTGCCCCAAATTTCTTTCTCTCTCTCTTTTTTTTTTGGTTGGGGGGCAGGGTGTCACTATGGAGTTTAGGCTGGCCTTGAACTCACAGTGTAGCCCAGGCTGGTCTCGAACTCACAGCGATCCTCCTGCCTCAGCCTCCTGAGTGCTGGCCACATTTCATACGCTACACCGAAGCGGTACTTACGACTTAGTTGCTATTGCCTTTGTAACCGTCCACTCCTGTTTCGTTTTGTCCCTTGACCACTTTGGGTGGCACTTTTTATTCCTTTCACTAACCAGGAAAATGACAAAAAGAACTTTACGAAAGTTAGCCCAAGGTCGTACTGCAAGTAACACACCTAAGTTGTTATCATGCTTGTATTTTAAGATCTGAATTAGACACAACTCTGTTAATCCTCTCACTTGACAATATGGAAACTGGCATGTATTGTTTTTGTTGCATAAAACCCCCTCCTTTTTTTTTCTTTTTTTTTTTTTTGGGAAGGGCACAAAGTTCTGCGCGTGTGTGTATGTGTGTGTGTGTGTATGTGTGTGCACGCGCATCATTAAATGGGGTGCTATAAGATTGCCCAAACACCTTCACTTTTTTATTCCAGGAAATGGTTTCTATATGATAGGCAAAAATTAGAAATTTAATTCACGTAGCAAATAGTTATTAAATGTGTACTACCAAAATGTGCATAAGTCCAAATGTGTCCATAAAGAAGAATAAAAAGACAGCTAAGTAGAAATATTTCAGGCAGTCACACAGGGCTAGGCCTGCCTCAGGGCAGAAGATGAGAACACCTCAGAACTGGTTAGAGGCACATCTTAAGTATATTAAAGTCACAGTGGACAAATTTGCATACTTCCCTAAAGGATAAAGGGAAGTTTGAGATGATTGGTACAACCCTTTTGAGATTTCCTGTCCCACCAAGACTCAGACTACTAAAACTAAAGACAAGATTAAGACTATAGATTATTGACCAAGGTTAATGATGTCATCCATATGCCCTTGCATTGGATCGGTATTAGCCAAGCAGCTGTACTTGTAATCTTCTTGGTTGATTATACTTTTGCCCCACCTTGTATGCACCTCATGACTTTGCTCTGTAAAACTTTCTCAGAGAAGTGTACCTGTTGGCAGCCCATTTGGGATCCCTTCCTGTCTCAGGCGCTATTCCTGGACCCCATTCCTATTCCCCAATAAATTTTCCTACTCAACCTCCACTGTTCCTTAGAATTCATTCTTCTACTTCGGGAAACACCAACTTGGTGTGTCTGACATCTAGCAGGTTGGGAGGTGGATATTTTCCCCCTGTATACATGTGACTGGGGAGTAGTTAGGAAATGTTTAGATAAGCTGGTAAGGAGAGTCTGGGAAAAGGATGGTAAGCTAAGATGGGGAAGGCTTAGAACAGAACGAAAGATTCTTTCTGTCTTGAGGCCATGGAGAGAAGGATAGGGTAGAAAGTGGAAGCCAGGCTGCAGGAATAGTCCAGGCAAAAGATGATCATGACTTAGAATAGTGTGAGCCTATGGAGAAGTGAATATGTGGAAGAAAGTATGGACTACTATAGTCCCTATGTGGGAAAATGTCCACTCTAGTTTTAGAAGGAATTGGTTATTAACATTTTCCCACTTACTAGAGGTACACTTTCCCTCCATGTCTGCAGTCAGTCATTTGTGGATCGGAAAAGTCCTAAAAGGTTCCAAAAAGCAGAACTTGAATTATACACCGAACACTAGCTGAATACCCAAGAATGAAGGGATGTGTAGGCATACCCTACTGTAGCAGTTTCAGAGGTCCTGAGTCTCTCCAGCACTGGTTTGAGCATTGTTCATCTTGCTCACTTTCATGTTGTTCACATACTCTTAGTTCATCATGTTCATCTTGTTCAGCCCTGATGATGAGATGACTTATTATTTCCGTTCCCACTTGATAAATCTGCTTAAGGCACAAATGAAAGTGTTGCAAATCTGTATTTCTTATGTTGGAGCTATGCAGTGTTTCACTTGATACTGGATGTTCAAGAGCCAGCCTAGTTCTGTTTGACTTGCTATCTAAAGTTAGCACAAGGCTGCATTTGGTGGCTCAGAACTGTAACCACAGCACTCAGAAGGCTGAGGCAGGAGGATTGATGGGAGTTCAAGGCCAGCTTGGCTACAGAGTGAGTTCAAGGCCAGCCTGAACTGCATAGTGAAATCCTGTCTCAAAAAGACAAAGGCCCAACATGGTGGTGCACGCCTATAGAGCCAGTACTTGGGAGGCTGAAGCAGGAGGATTCCCATGAGTTTGAGGCCAGCCTGGGCTACATAGTGAGTTCAGGGCCAGCCCCACCCCCCAAAACAATCCCTGTGCTCAAAAAGACAAACAAACAAAAAAAGCACTACTTTTGTATTAGAGATAATATTAAAGTTTTAAACTTGTGTGAAATATGTAGGGATTATTGATTTTTTTTTTCTTGTGCTAGGGATCAGTCCCAATGCCTTGTGCCAATGCAGAGCAAGTACTCTACTGCTGAGCTACATCCTCACATTATTGATTTTGAATCTGTTTAATGCTCTGATTCACCAAAATCTGGTTTATTAAGTGTATCTCTGTGTGTGTGCAGTACTTATATCTGATCTATATTCTCATCCCTTTTGTTTTGTTTTTGAGAAAGGGTCTTGCTGTGTAGTTCAGGCTGGCCATGAACTCGCTTATGTAGCCCAGGTTGGCCTCAAACTCATGGTGATCCTCCTGCATCAGCCTACCAAGTTCTGGGACTATATGTGTGAGCCACCACTCCTGGCCCTGTCACTTCTTAAATTTTTTTTTTTTTTTTTTTTTGAGGCAGAGTCTTACTAAGTCACTAAATTGCTCAGGCTGGGCTCTAATTTGTGAACTTCCTCTTTCAGCCTCCCAGAGTTCTGGGATTACAGGCATGTACTACTACAGCTGGTTTCAAGTTTACTTTATATGCTATCAGTAGGGCTGAGGCTATAGCTCAGTAGCAGAGTGCTTGCCTAGCATGGGCAAGGTCTCAGCACTCCCCTACCCAGAAGTCCTTTAAAACTAGGTGCCTTGGGGGCTGGGGATTTAGCTCAGTGGCACAGCGCCTGCCTGGCAAGCGCAAGGTCATGAGTTGGATTTCCGGTACCAGAAAAAAACCAAAATCAAAAAAAAGAAAAATACATGCCTTTGTGTAGGATTTGGTGACACACGCCTGTAATCCCAGCACCTGGGCTGCTGAGGCAAGAGGATTACTGTGAGTTTGAGGCCAGCCTGAACTGCATGAAACGCTGTCTCAAAAAGACCAAAAAAAAAAAAAAAAAAAAATCGCTTCTGTCAGGTATGGTGATACATGCCTGTAATCCCAGCCCTCTGGGAGGCCAAGGCAGAGGGATCACAAATTCTGCCCATCCTGAGCGATTTAGAGACTTAGTGAGACCTTGCCTCAAAAAAACAAAAGGAGAAAGGCCCTGGGCTAAGGTCCCTAGTACCAAAAAAATTTTAAAAGACTGGGAATGAGGCTCATTGTGAAGACCCTGGGTTCCGACCCCAGTACTGGGAGAAAAATGTGTATGTATGTATGCATCTATATGCCTTCATAGTTTTTTAAAAAAATGTAGACAGACTTTATATTTTGTAGTATAGCAGTACACAGTGATTACTTCTATCATGGGGAATTGGTACATGTACATAACACATCTTTTTTCGTCCCCCTCCCCATCCTATTCCTTCCTTGCTTCTACCATCTCCTGTCCCCTTCCCATTGGAAAAGCTCTGTTTCCATATTTTTCAGTTTTTTAAATCCTGTTTCCTCTTCCCTCTATCTTTTGTTCCCCTTCCCATTTAAAAAAGATCTCCCTACTTCCTATTCTCTTTTATTCTACTGTCTGTATTTTGGGTTTCTCCTAAGACAGACCATGTGATATTTAAGTTGTGTCTCTTATTTATTTCACTTAATACAGTGGTCTCAAGGTGCATCCCTCTATCTCCAAATGCCCCAGGTTTATCCTTTTTTATGGCAGAGTAGTAACTATGTCAGATGTCCCACATTCTGGAACGTGGTCATAATATCATTTGGTGCCCCCCTTTTTTGTCTTTTCGAGATGGGGTCTCGCTGTGCAGTTCAGGCTGGCC